CTCCACTGTATCTAATATACAATTATATTATATATGCACATATATATTACATGTTATATATATGTATGTATTCCTCCTGCCCTTGCTGAGATTGAACCCAGAGCCTTGTGCATGCTATCTATGCAAGCCCTTTACCACCAACTTACACCCTCACTCTCGATATTATATTTTAATGTGACTTCAGAAAGTCAATATAGATGTACACTTATCTTGGGCTCTGTTTGAAAAGATCATTAGTGAAGGTATGAAAAAAACCACCTTCCCGACTATTATATCTCATCTCTCATAATGTTGCCTGTAATCATGGTCAAGTACAATGTTTTATAACTGTACAAACATGGGAACCTCCTAACATCTCCTGAGAACTTACATGCTACACACAGTGTCTTATGATTACTGCGTGCTAACCGATTGCTCCACTGGAGCTCCTACACATGGTGTTTTAAGTTTACCTCATTTAATTCTCACAACTGCCTTCTGAAGTAGGTTTTTAGTACTTTCATTTTACATTTTAGGACACTATTGTTCATGTAAATTACTTTTTCTAAGGTCACTCAGAAAAAGGAGGGATTAGGGTACAGATACCAAGCTCCTGTGACTCCCAGGAGCCAGGAGAGGAGAAGGAGTTGCCCTCTCATTATTGAACAGTAAATCGGTGATAAATGGAACACACTTCTAGCTGCACAGTGGACCCCAAACAGTTGCCCAATCAAAAGGGAAAATGGCAGCACAAGAGAAGAGCAGAGGAGGAAAACCTTTTGGTCAGGTTTGGTCTACTACCTGTAACAACAATCAGTAGAGGCACCTGCCATACTGTCAAATTTAAATTTGTATCTTAATAAGTGATACTGTCTCACATTCTTACTGCCTCAAAATAAAGGGCAGCTGTGACTGGAAGAATTGAATTTGGCCTTAAGACTCAGTGCAGAGGTCAGATTCTTAGCCTAGATAGGTCTTAACATGGTGAGAGGGGCTTTGGGAGTTCAGAAGCTTGTGGGACTCCTGATGCTGTGTGTCCACTTCATTTCATAAGCTGAGTTGAAATGCTTCCAAATACTCATTTATCTTAAATATACATGTGTATATATATGTGTGTACATACATATATATATACACACACATATGCACATACACTATTTACATATAATATACACACCATATACATGATTTTGAGCTTGTACAAAAGAGAATAAAATAACAAACACTAATGTTGAGGATGGTAGGTATAATATTTAACCGTCTTCAGTCATCAGATGGTCAGAAGAATGTTAGTCAATTCCAGGGGACAGGTTCCCCTGATCAACATGGCCCAGTGTGAGCCCCTCACCCCTAGAGGATGCTTCTGTTCTCCATAACAGAAGAGCACACATGGAGATCCAGCTAGTGTCTTTATATGCAAATTTATTGACTCTGCTGAGTATACTGCTACCATTCAATAAATGTTTTTCATTTGTATTTCTAATAAGACCTAGAATAAATAACACATGTATTAGGTTTTTAAAAATATTTTTAATTGTTGTCAAGGGATGTTTATTTTATTTATTTATTTATAGGTGGTGCTAAGAATTGAACCCAGTGCCTCACWCATGTTAGGCAAGCACCTTAGCACTGAGCTACAACCCCAGTCACACACGTGTATTAGTTTTAAGTTAAATAGAAACACATACTCTGTCTACACAGGACAGTTTCTCTCCTATCCTTTCCTCTTGACTCTTGATCTTTTGAAGGCCAGAGATGAGTTAAATATGAGAGTTAATAAGAGGGTAAGGAAATTAAGAGCAGTGCTTTCTTTCTTTCTTTCTTTATTTATTTATTTACTTACTTACTTATTTATATTGTATTATTTTATTAAATTCTACCAGATAATATTTTGAATAAGGTGAAAAAATCTATGGAAATCAGAAAAGTTCTTACTTCCATGTGGATTATAACTTGAATGGGTACAGTGGAAGTTTCTTTTTTTAAAAATTGATTTTATTATTATTTTTTAAAATAAACAACAAAAGTGGAATGTTGCACATAGTCATTGGGATCGTGTCTTAGAGTTACCCCTTTTCCCGGCAAGTCAAAAGTGATTTGACTGAAAATGCCCATTTTAACTTAGTAAAACAAATGTATTTATTGCTAATTTTTTTCTGTTTAAATATTTATAAAGAAAATCTTACTGCCAAGGTAAGAAAGAGTGTCCCTGGCTCTCATAATATGGTTAATTCTTTTTTTTTTTTTTTATTCTTGTGAGTCACCAGATATAGCCACCATACAAATAGTATTTCTCTCTGGATCCATGAACCCTATCATAAAATAGTAGTGGTAAGAGTGTGAGATAAATCTTGGAGTAATGAAACCTGACATACCTACCTTACAGGTTTCTTGAAAGGAAAGCATGAAATAATGGATATGAGCGTGTTTAAAAAAAAACAACAAAAAGTGTTATAAAATTCGATATAGTATTTTTGTATGCCTTGGTTGCAATATTATTTTCCATTGTCTTGTTTATTGACTCTTCTCCACATACATGCATATGAAAAAGGGCATTCATAGTTCTTTTTTTTTTTTTTTTGCTCTCCTCGAGAAATTGGAATTTCTTCTCTTTATGAAGGTAGTATCACTTAGATTTTAATAAAAATTTCAATTTCTCATTTGTTGTTTCTACACCTTCCAGGGTGGGCTTAAGATAAGTACATCATGTGCTCTCCAGGGCCTTATAATCTTTGAACATATCTAAACGGCACAAATGAAAGGATTTCTCTGGGAGTGACATCTGCAGTCCACTTCCAACTCCATGGATCAATCTGTGGGTAAATTAATACAGTGATATGCCAACATATTATGTCACCCACATGGATAGTAATATACCTGCACTTAATTTATAGATGTCTCCTTTTTTTCTGAGATGGAGGCTGTACTGATTACAGATGCCTCATTCAAATGTATCCTGTTAGTCTTTCTTCTGAGGCATCCTTAATTTTTTTTTAAGCCTAGCCAGTAAATTCTTTTAGATATCAGACAGCCGTCCATTTGCAAAAGAAAGATTGAARAAATAATGCAATAATACATGTTTGAACAGTTTTCATTTTCGAACAATGTATAGCTTTTTGTAAATAAAACCAAAGACATGAAACTAGAAATAAAATGAAAATGTGGGCTGTATATATTTGCCTCTGAATGCTGCTTGGATAAGAAATGAATCCCCAGATGAAAGCAGCGTGAGTCATTTCAAATCTAACAGCCTCATATTATCATAAAATTGCATTGATGTAGTTGTAAAWACCCATGAAGAATTCTATAAGGAACTTTTGATCTTGGAGGATTCCCGGGCTAGGGATACAGACTGAAGGGGGAATAGTCATATCTAATTTACTTAAAAAAGAGCAATCAGATTTTTAGGATAAAGTATTAAAGAAGAGATTTGAAGACAAAACTAATTATATTTCCCTACATGGAATATTAGAACTACAAGAGGGTTAGCATCTATTCTAGGAAGAGGTATTTCCACACCCCACTTATGTTGCTAATTAGTCCTGCACTCCTTCCTCTAAGCCTCTATATGATCTCAGAATCCCTCTCAACACAGTGCTCCGGGYAGCTTTTTAATTTAATTTAATAATTTAATTTAATTTTTTTAGTTGTAGATGGACACAATAACTTTATTTATTTATTTATTTATTTTTATGTGATGCTGAGGATGGATCCCAGTGCCTCACACATGTGAGGCAAACACTCTTCTGCTGAGCCAAAACCCCAGCCCCTCCCGGGCAGCTTTAATAGACCATTAGAGGTGACATATAATTGAAATTTTTATTTAATCTTAATATGGAACTTTTCAAATAATCATCTTTCATTTCCTTCAAAACTATGTTGCTATATTGAAATGTTGAAATATATAACTATATTTCTCATGAACCATATGTTCCAGATATTGGGCATATACCCTAATACAAGAGATCTGAATCCTGCCTTCAAAGGATTTTCTGTTTGGGAAGAGAAAAATAGAAGTTAGTAGGATTTAACACAGTGTACTAAARGCAATGATGGAGTTTGTTATAGTTTAGATGTGGTGTTCTCCAAAAACTCATGTGTAAGACAAAGCAAGAAGGTTCAGAGGAGAAATGATTGGGTTGTGAGAGCCTTAACCCAATCAGTTAATGAGTCCCTGATGGGATTAACTGGGTGGTGACTGGAGGAGGTGGATGTGGCTGGAGGAGGGGGCATTGGGGGCGTGGCTTTGGGGTCTCTATTTGTCTCTGGAGAGTGGAGACTCTCTCTGCTTCCTGATCACCATGTGAGCTGCTTCCCTCCACCACACTCTTCCTCCATGATGTCCTGCCTCCCCTAGAGCCCTGAGGGATTGAGCCAAGTCCTTGGACTGAGACCCCTGAAACCTGGAGCCCTCAAATAAACCTTTCCTTATCTACAATTGTGCTGGTCGGGTCTTTTAGTTGCAACAGCAAAAAAGCTGACTAAAAGAGAAATATGAATATAATATAAATGTAATATAAATATTTAGGACAGCCTCATAACCTGGAGCTGAATTAAATGTTTTTCTTTATAGAGGATGCCTGTTTTTTTCTTATAACAAACAGAAGTTATCCAGGCAAAGTTTGAATGTTCTAGAATAAGTCATCAACTTTTTCTTTTTTTAAATCCTTGGAACCCTTTACAATCTTTTTTTTTTTTTAGTTGTAATTGGACACAAAACCTTTATTTTTACTTGTTTATTTGTATGTGGTGCTGAGGATCGAACCCAGTGTCTTGTATGTGCAAGGCAAGCGCTCTACCACAGAGCCACAACCTTCACGTGCTCATCCCCCTTTGCTGAGGATCCCTTAAAAAGTGTAACAAAACTACTAGATGATCCARTAACTCCACTCTAAGGTACATACCCCAAAGAATTAAGAGTACACACGTAAATAGATTCTGCTATACCAGGATTCACAAACATCATTCACAGAAATRCCCATTAGGGAGCTGTCACTTCATAGCTTACTGTCGGGCTCAGTTCAGCTTATCCAGGACCTGGGACACAACAGCATCCCTAAGAAAGAGGGAGAACTTGATGAGAGCTATGCAGGGTTGAGGACCAGGAGAATATCCCACCTTTGCACCTTTTTCCCTACATCTACCCTCTTCATCTGCTTCATCACCCATGGCATCTTCAGTGGCATCCTCTGTCATCTCCTTCACATCCATCATCTCTGCTTGCCATTCACACTCCACCATGATCTTTTGGATTTGGGGCAATTTCAGCTGGAATTAGGGAAAGGTGAGTTTGGTCCCTCAATATCAATGGGAGTGTAAAGGGGGATTGGGAGAGGCGCACACGTTTGTTCATGGTACCCTTGGCCTTGGTAATACCCTTCATAGCTTGTGCCATTGAGCTGTTGGACTTCAGCTCCTGTGTCTTGAGGGACTCAGCCAGGACATTGGCCTGCATGATACAAACTTAAGCACGCAACGCTAAGTATTCACAGGGCTTTTGCCATGAAGTGCATGGCATCCTAAGGAGTATACAAAAATGAGCCCATGAAATTGTACTCCATTCCTCTTGGGATCTCCAAAGACCTCCATTAATCAAGGGGTCACTGTTCCTTCCTCTTCTTATCACGCCTTGTATCTTGAGCCTTCACTCCCTAGACTTCTTCGGAATGTCTTCCTGATCCCTAAATGTTGGAAGGCAAGCCCAGGCGCACTCCTACAGGGTCTTTTCCCACTCACAGTTAGAATCACTTCCTGGACTTAGAACACCCTTTCCTCAKGTTCTGTCCCCAGCCTAGACAAAGATTTGCCTGAATTCAAAATTCAAATTAAAAAAAAATAATTTACTATTGCCCTTAAGAAGAAATTCAATAAACTCCTTGCATGTTAACATTTTCTGTGAAAATAATTGTTTTCTAAAACAAATAAATAATGAGAAGAATGGTATTGCTTTATATTTCTGCAAATCTCTGTAAGGTTGAGGCTTAATCCAGTTGTTTTTCTCCAGTTTTTGTATTCAGTTTATTTAACTATGTTGTTTTGGTGGAAATACAGGAAGAAACCCTAGCCTTGTCTGGGTGGAAAAGAGGGCTTTCAGAGAGCAGTGAACATTCTTTTTTGGTATTATATCAAAACCGAATAAGTGTCAGTTTTTTAAAAGTGGTCCTGTAGATTCGAAATTTTTTTTTTTTATCAGTCAACTTTTTGTAAGCCCATTACAATCCATTGATCTACTTTGCACTTTGATAATTTTGTAATATCATGCATGGAGTAGTTAGGGAGGTAGATCATTAGCTTTTGCAGATCTTCCAAATGTTGACATGTTAATAAAAAAAAACCACATATAAAAATAGTGACCATCAATCTCATCAGAAGGGGTGTTAAGTGGTGGAAGTTGTTGAGCTCCCCGTGGTAGATACAAATTTTCCAAATTTCTGATTTTTTACTTATATACTTTATTCCATGAGAAGAGCATCTAGATCACCTTGCAACTCAAACYATCCCATGACACCTCCCCATCCTGGGCATGGCCACTCAACATTGCTATGCAAAGTACTTTGTGCCTATTTCCCATTTTGTCATATAGACTATGAAAATGATATCTAGTCCAGGATCAAGATTTAATAAAACTAATTGCTTATGGTCTTTCAGCTGAGATATTAAGTGACACTGGTATTTTTTAATAAAACTACAACTGAATAATAATACAACAACTTGTAGTGTAGATGGTTGCCCCTGCCTTAATTCATGTAGTAGCA